CTGAGCTTGATGGCCGCTTGATTACCTTCAAGCCTTTATGACGCCAGACGCTATACTTTTTGATAGCCATGCATATGGTAAGATTTTTTAATGGAGTATTTGGACTTGGGGCTGAAAACTCACTGCCATCGAACAAGTCAATACCAACTCATAGTGCCAGCGTAGAAATGTTTTTGTGGGTTTTTGAGACTAACTCATTATAGGAGTAGAAAACCTCATCTTTCTCCAGCAAAGTGGCTGGTAGCTTCAAACTTCTGACCTTGAAGTTAGCGGCCCAACTCATAATTACTATACAACCTGTTACAAAGTGATGGCCAAGAAAGATGAAAGAATAAAAACTGATGAACGCTGCCTTGTGTAGGTGAATTCACTAGAGATTCATAGATTCATTATTTCCAATAATGTCGAGTTTGCCAGATTTTCAGTATAGCTAACCAAGCTCAATCCAAATCTGTCATGTAAACTCTGGTGACAATTTAATAACTTGCATTGAGAAATGATGTGCTCTTCCTCACCAATATGGTTCTACTGTCAGGACTGACCCTAACTTAGAAAAGCTGAGTTCTGGGCACAATTTGTAAACAAGAAGGTAATTGTATGGGACTATTTCTTCCTAGACAGAAAAATTTAAAAACAAAACAAAAAAAACAAACGCATTTAACTTGAAGTGTTTTGCTGACAATTTTAACCAAGAGGGAATGAAGGGTTTCTGTATAAAATGAGGCTTTCTGGGGAGAACAGGGCAGGCTCTCAACCATAACTGGAATGGCTTCATCAAACAGGGAAAGGAGAGACTGGTTTGGTTTATATGGTGATTCGTGAGGGTGGGCATGGGGTGGGGTAGGGGCCTCTATTGAAGGCTCTCACTTCTCAGATTGGACTTACTGCCTTCAAATCAGTGCTGACTCATAGTGACCCTCTGTGGGTTTCCAAGAGCATAACTGATTACAGAAGTGGAAAGCCCAGTCTTTCTCACAGCTCTCCTAGTGGTTTTGAAACGCTGATCATGGGGATCGCAGCCCAATGGGTAATCACTACAACATCAGTGCTCCATTAGGTTGGACTTAATTGGTTTGAAATTCCCACAGTTGCCAAAGGAGCTTTCCTATCAGCTTTACCAGATTTAAAGCAGAGGAGCAGGGGAACTGCTGAGGCTAGAAAAACTGCTAGCAGCCAAGCAGCGCAAGTGGAATGGACTCTATCATCCATTCCATCTGTAGCTTTCCTTTGTATTCAGCACATCTACTCCTTAGCTAGACTAATCCTGTTGTGAGTTGTGCTTACAATTTCCTGGTTTGGGAACATTTTTCCCTTCCTTAAGTTGATTATTTTTTAATGGACCCATAATGGTTTGAATTAAATGCTATGGTTCTGCCAAAAGTCAGAAACTATTAATAATACACATGCACCTTTATAAACAACTAGTATCTATGAAATTAGTACAACTAAATATTTAAATCTGGGCCCATTTTGCTTATGTCCAATTGAAAATGGTTTCAAAGTAACATAGTAGTTTGCTTTTAATTGTGATCACAATCTTGAACAGTTTATGAACTTGGTAATTGATTTTTCTATATATGCTACAAAATTACCTTGCTAATAATATCAATTTTTATTTTTAAATGAATGCTTTTTTTTCCAAAATATTTCAGCCTTTTTATTTTGTTTTGTTATCTAGATGGGTCTAGGAAAGACAATTCAGGCAATTGCAATTGCTTACTTTTATAAAGAAGAATGGCCTGTTTTAATAGTGGTCCCATCATCTCTGAGGTACCCTTGGACAGAAGAAATAGAAAAATGGATTCCAGAGCTAGGTCCAGAAGAAATCATTGTTATTCAAAATAAAACTGATGTTGGGTAAGAACAACTTTTTAATTCTAAATATAAAAAGTCCTCTTTGTGCCCATTGTGTGTATTTAGAATATACTTGTATATTCATATCATCAAAAATCATAATTTAGAATGATTGTGAAGAATTGTATATTACATTTTTAATAACAGTTACTTTTTAAGAATTTATCTAAAACTCAAATTATTCAATTTAATAAATTCTTTGACGATAAAGTTTGAAAGAAAAGAAAAAGTATTATACTTTAAAACATGTATGTTATTTATTAACTTTGTATGTACTGTAAATATACTTAAGAACTATTGGATCATTAAAAGTAAATTTTTCTTGAAAATATTTGTGATTTTTTTAAAAGATTTTTAAAAAAATTCATTATTATATAGCAATAGCAGTACATCAGTGGACTGGTGACACAGTGGTTAAAGTGCTCAGCTGCTAACCAATAGGTTGTTAATTAAAACCTACCAGCTGCTGTGTGGGAAACCATTGTGGCAGTTTGCATCTGTAAAGATCTACAGCCCTGGAAGCCCAAGGGAGCAATTCTGTTCAGCCTAATAAAGGTCTCCATGACTCAAAATCCACTATTTGGCAGTGGATTTGATTTGCGCTTAGTAGTATCATGTTTTGTTTTTCCTGCATCCTATATATTCCCATTAAAGTTATGCAACATGTGATAAGTACGGGGATTTTCCTTTTCTAGGAGAATAGCGACCTGCAAAGTGGCCATTCTGGGTTATGGCCTTTTAACTACAGATGCTGAGAGTTTGATAGATGCACTAAATAATCAGAACTTCAAAGTGGTTATAGTGGATGAATCACACTACATGAAGTCCCGAAATGCATCCCGCAGCAAGATTTTATTACCGTTGGTGCAGAAAGCCAGACGAGCCATTCTGCTTACAGGAACTCCAGCCCTGGGAAGGCCTGAAGAGGTATTACAGTCCTGATAACTTGGGGTGGGGAGCTGAGTGGAGTGGAGAGGGGCAATAAGGGCAAGGTGCTTACATTAATCACTTGCTTTGTAGTTTGTAATTTCAAATTAGATATCTTAAATGCCACAAGAAGACAGGAAATTTTTTTAACAGTTTATTAGGACATAATCCATATGTCATACAATTGAATAGCTCATTCATATCAAGAAGAGTTGTACAATCATTACTACAATCCATTCAAGAACATTTTCTTTTTTCTTGTACTCTTTGTTATTAGCTCCCCCACCCCACCCTCCGGCCATACCCCCAATAAACCATTAATTCAGTTACTGTTTCTATAGATTCACCCATTTTGGATTTCATATGCCAAAAAACATTTTTTTAAGAGGCAAAGAAATAAAAAATAGAAATAACTTTAGCTGAAAAGAAAGCAGAAATTTTTTTTAAATAGAGCAACATTTTATCTGTCTATCTATTTATTTATTTATTTATCTATCTATTTTTTTATTAAACGGTCATTTTATTGGGGGCTCTTACTACTCGTAAAACAATCCACTCATCAATTGTATCAAGCATATTTGTACCTATGTTGCCATCATTTTTCTCCCCCCACCCTCATGACCCCTTGATAAATTATAAATTATTATTATTTTTATATCTTAAACCGATCACCGTTTCCCTTCCCCCATGGTTTCTGTTGTTTGTCCCCTGGAAGGGGAGAGGGTGTTAAGTGTCGATCATTGCGATTGGTTAAAATAGAGCAATTTTAAAATGGATCAAAAGGGAGATCAAATGACACAGTGTTAAATTTTAACCTGACTACATCTGCCATAAGCCACTTTCCAATGTACTCCGCATGATAACAAGGCAATTCACATCCCTAGTCTGTGTTCAGAGGGAATTCACCAGAGGCTTAATCTAGGTGTACTTCCCTTTCTCTCTTTTTTTTTTAAACAGCTTTTAAATAGGTCAAAAGGAGAGTTCAAATGAGATGTTACATTTTAAGCTAACTAGATTTACTACAATACTCTGTGTCTAATAACGGTTATTGTTCACATCCCATGAATGGGGTCAGAGGGCATTCACTAGAGGCTTAATCTGTGTGTGAACCCTACAAATAGAATTGGGGCTTCCACTGTCATCCATAGCCTTCTGCAAGCCAGATGTTCACAATTTAAGTTCTGATAGCATTCCCTTCTTTACATTTGGATTATATTATTTGCAGTCTTTCAATCACACAAGCTGGTGTGCTTCTTCATGTGGACTCAGTTGATGCCTCACTTAGATGGCTGCTTGTTTAAAGAAAAGTCTTTAAGACCCCAGATGCTATTATTTACAGCCAGGGACCATCTAGTTTCTTCACCACACTTTGCTGTAGCACCTATATCTTCAGTGATCTCTTCTTGAGGGGGAGTATCAAATAATGCTATGTAACAAGAACAATTTATTTTTAGATTGAGACTAGAATTAACTGCAAGCCCAAGATCCATTCATACATCTATGGCTTATGTGTCTTTGGTTCACCTTAGAGACTTCATTATCATCTTGGACTCAGATCTCTTGCTTTAAGGGTGCCCAAAGAATGATAGGCTGGGACTACCATATGCTTACTATTTTAATGCCCTCCTTGCTTTATTGTGACATGTATTGATCTGGTAGGCATGATTCTGCCACTTTCAGTGAATATTATTGGAAGTTTTGACTTATCATAATCGCCATTGTTTGTGTAAATAGTGGCCATTGACTTAAGAGTTATCTGTACAAGTCAATAATTTATGTATTGTAATTCATAGCCGCGTATACTTGTATAATCTCCTTTCCTAACCTGCATTTTAAATTCTGTATCATTGTGTAAATTAATGACACTATCAATAGAATTACCTTATGCTCCATGGACATGAATGATAATGTTCTCTAACAGAAGGAATTTCTTAACAGCTATTAATTAAATAACTTTTCCTATGACTATTGATATTTATCCACATATAAACCTTAGGAGTGGTTAGAGGTATGTATAATTTCTTTTTGCCTTATATTAAGATTTTTCTATTTAGTAGAAATTTACAGTATTTTTCACATTTATATTCTATGTGTTTCATCTTTATCTTTTCCATTTTACATTGCATATACCTTTTCTATTCTAAAAATAGATCATCTAACAGAAATACAGGTAGATGCGTAGATACATACTAGATATTGATATTATTGATATTAGATGTAAAGATAGATTACGTGTGTGTATACCAAGTTACACAAAGTTCAATTTTGAAACTTGTGGTTGAAGGGGGTTCCAGCCCCCCACCACTAATCGTGGGTTCGATAAGCGCAGTTTTGCAGTTGAGATATATAAATATTATATTAAAGTCATAGAGAGTATGAGAGATAGAAGAGATATTGAAATAATGGAGTCAGACACATTTCATGGTAGCATGCTCACCTCAGCCCTGCTTGGTAGTCCATGTGGAGAGAGGGGGAAGGGAAGGAGGACAAGGGGTAAGGGAACAGGGGAGAGAGGATAGGAAAGGAGAGGGGGAAATCGACCAGAGGCCAAGAGGGGAGACCGGGAGAGAGATATTTAATGCTAACCAAGGCTTTTATATTCTTTGGGGACATGCAAGCCCCCTAATTACAGGTGAAGACATATGTCACAGGAAACGATTGTGCTATAGGTAATACAGTAATGGGAGGAGGGTGATCTCGGGGTATTCACTCAATAGGAAGAGGAGGGATTGGGGGTATACATGTGACAAGATGGGCAGGTCCTAGATTCAGGATGGCAGCCTAACTATGGATGTCACTGAGTTGGTTTGACCTGTTCCCGGGCTCAACTATAGAGACCATTAACAGTAGAGTGTGAACTCCACCTACAGGAACCAAATCAATGGCTGCAAGCCTTTAGAGAGAAGTAGCCCATTGTCCTTAGCAGCAGGGAGCTTGCCTAGTCTGGCAGCTGACTACCTTCAGGGAAGTTTACCATTAGCTGCAGGCAGTGTCCTATTTTGGGGAGATAACTTGGGAGAAATCTTTCTGTTTCCCACAGAAACTGCATAAAAGTTCAGAAACAGCCTATGCAGGTAGTCCTGGGTTACAAATGACTATCAGATAAATTCTTCTGGTCCTTTGATGTTATGTAAATGTGTCCTCACTTTGAAATTATTGAACCAATCTGTACATGCAACAAATTCTTCATCACATTCACCTTAACTTGCTGCACATTCAACTATCAAATCATTGGAAAAGCTTCAAAGTCTTTTCTTGCATTAAAACCCACTGCCATCAAGTCTATTCTGATAAGACTTTCTACTCCCATAAAGAGTCACAGGTCTGGGAAACCTATCTGGGCAGTTCTACCATATCCTTTAGGGGCACTATGAGTCAGAATCAACTTGATGGCAGTGATTTTGGTTTGGCTTCAAGGACAGACTAGAACTGCTCTTTAGGGCTCCAAAATCTAAATCTGTGTGGCAGTAGACAGCCTCATCTTTCTCCAATGGCTTGTGGATTTAAACCACTGACCTTGCAGTTAACAGCCCAATGCTCATCTGAGAGCCCCACATGGCATCCTTTTATTGTGCTAAAAAAGAACCAAACAAACAAGCTTAAAAACACAATTGTAATCAAGTCAATTCTGACTCGTAGCAACCCTATACAGGGTTTTCGAGACCTTAAGTCTTTACTGGAGAGTCAGGCATCTGTTTTGACTCACCTACAAATTCTTCATAAAGTGTTAAAGACACAGAAGGGATCTTGTTCTGTTAGTGACCTGGAGCGATTTCCCTTTCAATGGAAGAGATCAAACACAAGGCTGCTATACAGAGAAGCCCTTTTATTACGCAAGCTTAAGCCAGGGCTCCAGCCCTCAGGTGCTTAACCTTGCACTGTCTTGGGCTAGAACCCCAAACAAAAGAAATTCTTAAGTATATATCTGTGAGGTACATAGGGGCATTCCCAGCCCCCCCTTTTCCCCCTACCCCCATCAGTCCACCAATTGGCTCATTGAGGTAGGTTGGCTATCTGGTCCTTTGTGTGTAGTTCCCAAGCTGGCCGGTTAGTTGTTCGGGCTTTTCTTGCTGCTCCCAGATTGGCTAGCCTCAGTCTCTTGGGTACATCCTACTTTGCACTGCTAGGAAACATGAAACCACAGCCTGCCCAAGATCGCGGTGCCAGTCACGGGGCAATCTGGCTTTACAGTTCATAACCTGGGCACTGCATGTATATCTGTTATCAAGAGAGTGGTTAAATATATTACAGTACATCTATATAGCAATGAATTGCTCTTTAGTATTGAAATAGTGCTTTATTGTTATAATACACTTAGGTAATTTTTAAAAAACCAAATGAAAATAGATATACACCCTCTCCTCTTAGCCACTTGGATAGGTTCCAAAGACTAGGTTGTTATTTGAAAATCAGCATTATGTGAAAGTGTAAGATGACTACATCACTATATATAATTGCCAAATGTCATTCTTAAATAATTGCCAAAGTACTGAGACTCATGACCCAGTCAAATTGACACCTAAATTTAACCATCACAGCCAGTGTTACACTGACCTTTTACCTGTGTGTTTTCCACTGCCACCTGTATGTCATTAATGCACCAAGTAGTTGGATTATATATATTACTATTGAAAAATGTCAGATAACAATATTGTAAGTAAAGAGGCTTATGTGTACCTTTAAGCGTCTACAACATGCTTTATAATTGTGGAATAGTATGTGTAATATGAACAAGGAGACTTCAAAGAGTCCATTAGGAAATGGAGTTGAAACTTTTAAATCTTCATATTGTTAGGGAACTGGAGCAATTACCCTTTCAATAGAAGGAGATCAAGCACAAGGCTGCAATTACAGAAGAGGTTTTATTATGCTAGCTTAAGCCAGGACTCAAGGCCTCAGGTGCTTTACTGTGTGCACCATCTTGGACAAGAGCCCCCAAAAAAGAAATCCCAAAGTATTTATTTACAGGTATACGTAAAGGGGTGTTCCCAGCCCCTCCTTCCCGTCAATCCACTGATTGGCTCATTTGAGGTAGGTTGGCAGTCTGGTCCTTTGTGTAGTTCCCACGCTGGCTGTGTGGTCCTCCCCTCCGAGGTTGGGTTCGCTGTGTCGTTCCGGGTTGGCTAGCCTCAGTCTCTGGGTACGTCCTACTTTGCACTGCTAGGAAACATGAAACCACAGCCTGCCCAAGATCCTGGAGCCAGTCACACGGGCAATTTGGCTTTACAACATGTTTAATATGAATGTATGCATATGATTATATAGGCATAGAAAATGTACATACATACATAGAACAATTCTGAAAAATAAGATGACAGCAATTGGAAGTAGTGGGGCATTGAGGAAGAAGAAATTTTTCTATTTTAGTATTTTATTAACTAATTTTCTCAAAGCAGTACTAGTTTACTTGAAAACATCATAACATATTAAGAGCACTTGTTTTGTTACAGCTTTTCATGCAGATTGAAGCTCTTTTTCCACAAAGATTTGGAACATGGACAGACTATTCCAAAAGATACTGTAATGCACATATGAGGTAAGATAAATTATTTTCTGTAAGCTTTTATGCCACATATTCACTGTAAACATTAGGCTTTATTAGTCATTCTTTGATCCAGTGTTTCTCAAACTTATGGTAGCTATGAGATAATTTCTTGAAATACATTCTTTTGTGGCCAAGTTATTTGTAAAGTAAATGAAAAAATTAAATATGTAGATAATGCCAAAATTTTTCTGTTTTTATTTTTATCCACTTCAATTTTTGAAATTGCTGGATTTTTATTTAGATAAAATGTACATTGAGCAAAAATGAAAGTGTCCCTTCAATTCCTATTCCTCTGTCATTTACCTGTCTTCCCTGGTAACCAATTTTGGCAGTTTCTTACGTGTCATTCTGCAGATACTCTGTGTCTAAAAGAATACATGTAATTAACTACATATAGCATTATTTCATTTTTGCATGTGTAGTAACATAATCTATACATGCAACAGTTTACTTTCTTCATCTAATATGTATTAGAGAACCTTCATATCAATTATTGAAAGAACTTAGACACCTTTTTTTTTAAAACGTTTTGTTGGGAACTCTTAGCGATATTTTAACATTCCATGGTTTAATCACATCAAGCAGTATTGTGCAATTGTTAGTACAATCAGTTTCAAAACATTCTTTTTTCTTGTACTCTGAGATAGTTTACTGTGCCAGCCTGGCCGATAAACACAAGTGGGATTAACTGACGGGCAGAGAGATAAATGGCTTGGTGAGCCTTGCCTTTCTTGTCTCTCGCTGCCTTGCTTGTTCTGTGCCTCAATTTAAAGGCTACACTACCTGTGGGATGCCTAGCCTGTGGACTGTGTCGCTGTAAGTTGAGGTCCCTTACATCTGTGGAGCTGGGGACTGGCGGTTGATGACCTGGCTGACAGTTGGTGACCTGCCTTGCGGTTGGCTGCTGTGCTGAGATAGCCTAGCTCTCTCTCATTATAAAGGAAGATCTGGCAGCAGACTAGACTTGAAGGACTGCTAGTGTCTCTCAACTCTCTCATGGGAGTGAGTTGCACTGAGCCATTTGTAGTAGTTTATAATTTAACTGTTAATTTCTTGTATTATATATCTATCTGTATATAATTTAACAGTTCATTTCTTGTGTTAAATATCTAACTCTTTATAAATATATTAAATTATCAGCAATTTGGTTTTATCTCTCTAGAGAACCCTGTCTAACACAGACTCCTTGATATCATCTCCCTTTATCCCCTCCCTTCCCCACACTACCCCCTAGGAACCTCTTTTTTCCCGTATAACAGTTTTCTTGTGTGTGTGCCACATCGTACATAATCCAATATATACACATACAATTCTGTTATTCAATTCCATCGAGTGGAGTTATTCAATCATCAATTTGGTCAGCTTTCCTTCCCCACTACCCCTTCCTATACCCTCAGGGAACTATTATTCCTGATACTGTTTCTGAAGTTATCTATCTTGACATCTATGTAGCGAACCATCTTATTATACAAATGAACATACACAGATATAATATACTCAACGAGGTAAAACAAATAAAAACCATAATAGTAAGAGGAGAAAGTATTACAGAACTAGAGGATAGTTATGTGGTTCATCAGTGCCAGACCCCACCCTGGAGTTGTCATCTCTTCCATATGGCCCTTCTGAGAGGGAATGTCTAATTATCTTGCAGGTGGATTTGGAGTCTCCACTACATTCACATCCCTTCACATATATTTGTTTGCTTGTTTTTGAACTTCTGATACCTCTTCCCATCAACACCTCGTGATCACACAGGCTGGTATGCTTCCTCCATGTGGGCTTTGTTGCGTACCTGCTAGATGGCCACTTGTTTATCTTCAATCCTTTAAGACCCCAGATGCTATATCTTTTGATAGCCGGACATCATCAGCTTTCTTCACCACCTTTGCTTATGCACTTATTTTGCCTTCAGTGACCATAGATACCTTTTTAAATGCTGCATAGTATTTCACTTTATGGGTAAAATATCTCTTCAGGTTATTAATAGATGTTTGTTTGTAGAATATAGCTATTGCTTCCAATGCAGGAATCAGTATAATTGCATTTGTTGAAAGGTAATGATTAACAACTGAGGCATCTGGAGCTAAACCACCTCTGCCATCAAGTCAATGCTGACTCATAGCAACCATGTCTGAGTTTCTGAGACTGTACTGTTTACGGCAGTAGAAAGCACAGTCTTTCTCCTGAGGAGCTGCTGGTGCCTCCCAGCTGTGGACCATATGGATTGCAGACCAACGCATAACCATGACACCACCAGGGCTCCTATTGACTACTTGGTAGATCATTTTAGGCAAGCAATTCTACCTTTCTATATGTCAAATTTTCTTTAGTTTTGTTAATTTTGCCTGCCTCTGAGAACACTCAATAATTGTTAACTATTTTAATATCATGTCATACTCATGAAATTAAATCTTAAGACTTGTAGAAATAAAATTGCTGGGTAAGAGGACAAGTATTAAAATTTTTCCAAATTTATTCTCTACAGAACTTATATCAACTTATATTCCTACTAGCAGCCCAAATAGTATCTGCTTTCCCTGCACCTTGCCAAGATGTTTTAATAAAAACAATATTTTTGGTTTGTTTTTTTAAATCATTTTATTGGGGGCTCATACAACTCTTATCACAATGCATACATACATCAATTGTATAAAGCACACTTGTATATTCGTTACCCTCATCATTCTCAAAACATTTGCTCTCCATGTAAGCCCCTGGCATCAGCTCCTCATTTTCCCCCCTCCCTTCCCGCTACCCCCTCCCTCATGAACCCTTGATAATTTATAAATTATTATTTTGTCATATCTTACACTGTCCGACATCTCCCTTCACCCACTTTTCTGTTGTCCATCCTCCAGGGAGGAGGTTATATGTAGATCCCTGTAATCGGTTCCCCCTTTCTACCCCACCCTCCCTCCACCCTCCTGGTATCATCACTCTCACCCTTGATCCTGAAGGGGTCATCTGTCCTGGATTTCCTGTGTTTCCAGTTCCTATCGGTACCAGTGTACATCCTTTGGTTTAGCCAGATTTGTAAGGTAGATTTGGGATCATGATAGTGGGGGGGAATAAAAACTACCTTATTCTTGCCAATCTGATTGATATTTTAATACATGAAGCATTTGTCTGATTATATATTATTAAATATAGTTAACATTTTTTCTTACATTAAGAGTTATTTGTATTTCTTTTGCTGTCAATTATCTCTGTCCTTTGTTCTGCTTTCTATTAATTGCCTTTTTTCTTACTGATATACTAGAAATCTTTATATATTATGGAAATTAGCTTGTTGTCTGTGAGTTGCTTGAGTTTTTCCCAGTCTGCCTGGTTTGTTTGTTTGTTGTCTCTCTCTCTTCTTTTTGGTTTCTGTATTTTCCTCACATAATCCCATGTGGTCATGGCGTTCTCACACTATTCAAGGGTACCAGCGTATCGAGATGGAAAGAGTCCTTCTAAATTGTTTGTGTGAAACTAGTTCATTGCTATCAAAATCAAACAAGATAACACCAAAAAAGACATTTGAAAACCATTTCTATCTATCATTGCGGGAAGCTTCAATATTATCGAGTAGATTCCAGGATCTCATAAAAAAGTGCGAGATGGAATTCTTTTCATGACTTAATATGAGGAAATATATGAATATACTTTGATTCTTAGTTCTCATCCAGGAGGTCCCTGCTCATGATAACCATGTGTATAAACGGAAAGAAAGGCAGTTCAATCCAGCACCATCCCATGATTGCTTACAAAGCAGACTGTTGTGATCCACAGAGATTTTTTTTGTTGTTGTTGTTGCACAGAGGTTTTTTAAAGCTGATTTTCAGAATTAGATTATCAGGCCTTTATTCCTAGTTTATCTTAGTCTGACAAGCTGTGCAAACCTATTCAGTATTATTGCAACTTGCGAGCCCCTAGAGAGATGATGGCTCCACTTTAGATGCATTGATCAAGAATACAACCTTTCTCCCTCCTCAAAGGTGAACATTGTCACGGAGTCACCACTGCCCCCACATGAATATAATTAGCCACGTGTATTCCTTTTCTAGGTCTGGTATATACCAAATTACCGCAGACTGGGTCACTTAAAACAAATTAATTTTCTCATGGTTCTGAAAGCTAGAAATCTGTAACTAAGGAGTTGCTTTGCTTTCTCTTCAGGCTCTGTGAAGCAATTCTTCCTATATTTTTTAACTTCTGGTGGTAGCTATCCTTGCCATTATTAGCTGTATTGCTCTGATTTCTGCCTCTTTCTTGTGGCCCTTCCCTCCTGTTCCTGTATCTTCACATAATGACACTGCAGGCAGTGTCATTATGTGAAGATACAGGAACAGGAGGGAAGGGCCACAAAGGGCCCAACCTTGATGAGCTATCCTTGATGAGCTCATCCTATCTAATTAGATTTGCACAGATCTTATTTCCAGATAAGGAGACATGAATTTTTGGGGAACATGCACTAACTCATTAACCCAAGTTAATAATGAGAAGGAAAAACTTATTTCTTCACCCATATATGCTGGAAAATCACTTAGTTAAGCTGTTAATCAATTTAGAGTTTATACCTACAAGTATATATGTTGTGCTGTGTGTGTTCAGGTACAGAAGTCAGGAACACAAACGGAGATGAAAGAAATTCAAAAGTACATGCTTTTATTGATGGAAAGACTTGGTATTATAAATATTTCACTTTTGCTTGCATGGATACATGTAATATATGTAGCAAAAGTTAGACTACTTTTGTTTTAAAACCAGAAATTTTTATCCTACATGTCATAAACAAATGAATAATAAATAGAGCAAGAAAGAATCATCAAGAAAATTATTTATAATAAAGTATTGAAATAAGCAAAAATGAGTCTTTTTGTACCAAGTTGTACCAAGTTCTAGATGAATCAAAATATTTAAGCATTATTTTAAAAAATCATAAGTAATAGTTACATGAGTTCTTTTATAGTTGTAATCAGTAAAATTATAAATAATAGATTTTTTTG